AGCACCACATGCCAGCCAGCCTCGCCCCCTGGTGGGCTGAGCTGGCCACACACACACACACACACACACACACACACACACACACACACACTAAATAAATAAATGTTAAAAAAAAGAAAGAAATACAGAACACCTGGGCCATGACATAATTGTGGACCTGTAATCTAATTACTGAAATACAAACCACATCTCCTGACTTCTCTGGGCCTTTGTACATCATCAGAGTAATCTACTTGGGCCTTCACCCCTGGCAGACGCAGGAAGGAAAGCACAGGGGACAGACGGTTAGCCTGGATCTAGCGTGCATTGCCCCAGCCAGAATAATCCACTAACGCTCATTACTCCTACGCGTGAGTAGAGGGACAGTCACACACATCCTGCATGCTGGCTTCATGGAAGCTGTGCTTCGTATCAGTAAACTGAAACTGAATTTTAAACTCTGAGCCCATAGTTCAAAGAAATCAAGTCCAGGTAGCTTTAAGAATCTCCCAAACAGCTGCACACGTGTGTGACGGCTTACTGGCGGATGGCAAGAGGAAACCCTCGCCCTCTCCCAGACCCTACACCGCTGCTTAGTAACTTGAAGGAGGCCAAGAGGGCAGCCGAGACATTTGCCGTTTGGTGGGGACAGGGAGGAGGGAGACAGTGTTTCTGGTCCCAGATGCGCACTTCAGGGCACAGAGTGGGAGGCCCTTAGCACTGTTTGGCTTTCCCACCCTGGCTCCCAGAATCCCCCACTCCAGGTTTGCTCCAGGGCTTGGGGACACCAGCTCTGTGCTCCAGTCTATGTGCGTGAATAAAAGTCAGTTTTCACTTGCTGAATTATTTATGAGCTCAGCTGCTGTTTGGACTTTTTATTGAATATTTTAAAATAAATATTTTATAAGCAGCTAGAGGTTATTGGTATTTGATGCCTTTCATAAAATTAAAGAATAAAATTTAAATTGCAGTGTACGAAGACAAAAGGATCACACATGGACCTACTGATGAATCACATCATATACCCAGTGGAAAATTTAGACAGTGTTTAAACAGATCATTCATCAAGCCGTGTTTTTTTAAAAAAAATTTAGATAAATTCCTCTCTAATAGAGAAAAGAAATTATAGCACTTCATTTCCTGCTCTGATACTCAGTATGAAGTTGCATTTTGATGTTGGTTAGTGCTTTCAAAATTAGACATAGGTCCCAAGTTTTCCTCTGTATCCTGTGTTTGTTGATCTGCACTGTTAGAAGGCTATTACGGTACTAGGGCCTCCCTGTGGTGTGCATCCCCGGCCACTCCTGATCTCACTATGCAGCCAGATGACCCTCAAACTCAGAGATTTCTCCTACCTCAGCCTCCCCCACTGGGATTACCTACTGTATTCCAGATTTCCCAGACTTTACCTAAAACCAAAAGTTTGGATTCACTTAAAAATAGGAATTCAGTGCCTTCCAGAGATAATGCAAAGTAAAGCGACACGGGCGGCCACAAGTTAAGCGCCTTCATTCAGCACTCTGGTTCTTGACAAAGGAGCCAAAACCGCACACGAGAGGACAGACAGTCGTGTTGATAAGTTTGCTGGAAAAGCCAGCTGCCCACATGCAGAGGACCGAGTCTACATCCATGGCTCTCACTATGCATTAAACTAAAATCAAAATGGATCAAACATCTGCATGCTAAGACAGAAACAACCTACTGGAAGATTAGGAAGGACAACAGGCTGGAACGCAGAGGCATAGGTAGGGGCTTTCGGGACAGAACTCCCTCCCCCACACACGCAATAGCAACACCAAGAAACAACGAATCAGATCATATTACGTTAGAAGACTTCTGCACAGCAAGGGAAACAACCAACGCAGCGAACAGGCAACCTACAGAATGGGCAAAAAAGTAAAAAAAATTAGGATCCCCAAATAGATGAGCAATCAAAACACGAGCAGCTGAAATGAAGAGGCATATCTCAGAAGTACAAATGACCAATAAATACATGGAAAAACATGGCCACCATTGCTGGCACCAGAGAAATGCAAGTGAAAACAACGCTGGGACTCCACTGTACTCCAAGGAATCAGAGCAGATGCAGGCAAGCTGTGGAGCAGGAGGCCTGCCGCACTGCTCACGGAAACGTAGGCCAGGACAACCGCTAAGGGAATCAGGTGGGCACCCCTCCGAAAGCCACTACTCTGTTTCTGGGTATCTGCCCATACTGCAGTGACGCACGCAAGTACGCACGCACACACGCACGCACACAAGCACGTGCTCCTAGGACGCCGAGGCCACATCTGGGAAGCAGCGCACTGCTCCGCAATAGACGAGTGCGCGATGGAGCCCCGCGCTGCCGCAAGGGGGGCGCAGGCGCCTGGAGACCAGTGTTGTCAGGTGAACCAACGCTGGCTTGCGAGCTTCCTTCCTGGTAGTTCACACGGTGCTCTTTACGCGAGAAGCCAAAAATAGGAACAAAGAGCAAAATAAAACATAGGTAATAGGAATAGGCAGCCAGGTCTTTTGCAAATGGGAAGAAGACCGAGAGAAGAGGGCGGGAGAAAAAAGAAAGAGGAAGGAATCGTGACGCGTTCTGGGCCCGTGCCAACCCCCACCAGGCCAGTCCTCAGGGCGCACTGCAAAGGTATACTGCGGCAGACCGCCAACTGGCAGTCACCGTGTTACCCCCAGCTGAACTGAGCTAGCATGGTGCTGGGTGTGGGAGGCCACCAGATTGTTGTTGCCAGCAGCATAAGAACTGGAGAAATTGTTGGGAGGCTGTTCAGGAAGCTGTTTGAGAAGCTGGTGGAGCTGTTGGGAGCTGCGGTTCTCCTGGGCGCTCTGCTGGGTGACCTTGTCATGCTGGCTTTCCTGATGAAGTTGGCTGTTCTCAGAGGAGAAGCTTAGGACCTGTCACTGAGAGTGGTAAGGGTTCACTTGGGGGGCTCTGGTCCTCACTCTGAGCATCGCTTCCTGGCTCCAAGAGGGAAGATGGTGTACTGCTCAGCCTCCTGGTGAAGCTTGTCACGTTGGCTTTCCTGATGAGAACTCGGCTTTCCTCTTCCTCGGAGGAGCTCAGGACCTCACTGTTGCTGAGGATGGCCGTGGCACTCCTTAGGGGAGCTCTGGTTCTTACCCTGAGCGTTGCTTCCTGGCTCCAGTTCAGATCTTTCATCCCGCTGGCACAGACTGTCTAGCTTTCACCGCTGACCTTGGGCCTTCCCAGCGTAGACCTGTGAAGCAGGCCTGCATGAGACATTGTCGTGGGCTCCTGGCCTCCAGCTGGACTTGTGGGCGCCATTGTTATGAGCTCCAGGTCTTCAGCTGGACTCATGCAGGATATTAGGATCCAGGCCTCCAGCTGGATTCTTTGGTCTTTAGTGTGTGGACAGATTTCCTGCACTTGTTGTATGTGATTCTTTTGGTGATTCATTATAAACTAATATTGTAAATTGTGTCCTGTATTATATTGTTCCCCTTGCAAAAACCCCAAACTATGACATACACTGATTAAAAACCAACTGGAAAATAAAAGGTGAGGGGGTCAACAGAGGTGGCAGAAGCATCCCTGAGCTCTGAGCCCTGCATCTGGGAGGCGTTGACGCCAATGCGCTGGTAGACGAGCTGGGAAGAGATGCTCCCAGTCTAGCCTCT